TTATCATACTAGTTTATGTAGATGGCACAATCTTGTGCAGTGAAAGACAGCAGAGGTTGTTACACAAATGAACACAGAAGAAGAAGTCAAAAGATTAGGACACTTTTATCGTATTAAGCAAATAGAAAGAGATGGTGACTGTAGTTATCTTGTCAGTCAAAGGTAAGATTACAATCTAGAGTATGTGAGGTATAAAAACAAAAGAGGAAGAGGAAAGTGAGTGATACAATAGATTGATGGGTGTGCAGGAAATCAGTAGAGTTGGAAGAAGGAAGAGTGGAGTATATTGTGGAGAAACTAATTATGTTAGAAAGGGGTCATATAGTTCAAGGAATGATAATTACCCAAGGAGACTATAGTCTAGTATGAAGAAACTAGTTTTAAGGGACTTAAAATATTGAAGATTATGGGAGATTCTGCTGGGGAAGGTAGACTGTTCCATAGGAATAGTGTTGCCATTGTGAATTCCTGGAGGTTAGAGTTAAACAGTACAAGTGTCAATGTGCTTCTTAGTAACTCTATGCCTTAAATATTGCTTTATGCAATTAAAAATTTTATTGGATTAACTATACAAGTTTTAATTTCACACCCATATTTTACTAGTGCTCACTAGGTCACTGTGATGGTCCACTAGCCCTCTCTCTAATCACTGCATTAGACAAACACTCTAAACACCTAAAGCACTTTAGCTTACTGCAGTGCTTTATGTGTGACAAGCGTGTCTTCTTTTTTCACTTTACAAAAAGTTTAGAATTCAAAAGAAATTGGCACACTTATAGATTAACCTCCTGTCTGTCAATCACTGGGGTTACACTTACTAACTAGTATTTTTTTTAATGTATTTATTTTTTATTTGGACTTTAGTGTGTGTCTTTAGTTTACAAACGTTAAATGCCATTCTATTGATAATATTGTCTTTGTTTCAACGAAGAATAGAATTCTTGAAAGCTTAATATGTAATATATTGATTTCTGGGTGCTTGTATTTGCTTTTATATTATATAGTCATTTTAGAGTGCAGTTGTCCATCCCATGTAAGCCGTATTAAGGGTTAATGATTGTGCAGGGGTTCATAAGAATACCTTTTAAAAACCTATTGTTATTTAAAAGTGCACAGGGATTTTGTATAGTGCACAGGTAACTTTTTTTTAGGTTTGTTCTATGTATTTTGACTGGTGAATACTAGAACTGTTGTTGCCATCCAAAATACTGAGAGTTTGGGTGCAGAGTTAGTAGAACTGTGATTCTATAAACTCTATGGGAAGCTGTCCCTGCACAATGAATTTCCTGCCCATATCCCTAGCTGGAGAGGATATTTCAGACAGGAGAGGTCTGCGGGTCAGGCCCCTGTGGCATAGAGAGAGACCGCATTGGCAAGGCCTGGCAGCTGTAGCCCCAGGGGGCTGAGAGGGACACCACTCAGCCCCCAATAATCCTCTCCTCAGCTAGGTAGGAAGACACCGCAGTTCCCAATCATGCCCCCCATCAAGCAAGGTACAGAGAGCCTAAGCCCTCCAAATAATCCTACCCCCAACAAGGTAAGGTGATCCTAACTTCCCAAATCATCCTGTCCCCTGCATAGTACACCTGGGGTAAGGAGCCCCCAGATTTTACAAATCAGCCTCCCCAAATAGGTGTTGAGGCCCGAGCTCCCCAAATTATTCATGCCCCAAACATGGTAGGGTGACACCCAGCCCTCAAACCATCCTCCCTCTAGCAATATTAGGTAACTCCCAGCCTCAAAATCATCCTCCCTCCAAAAATGTAGGGAGACTACTAGCCCCCCCCAAATTCATCCTCTTTTCATCATGGCAGGGAGACCACCATCCCCCCAGCTATATAGGGACCCCCCTGAGTTCCACTATCAGGTAGGGAGACCACCGGAACCTCACATTATTCTGCTCTGCACATACACAATGCTACAAGCACAGCCAGACAGAGTACACATGTGTAAATAGTTATTTAGTGATTTAGGGCAGTTTTACCTTCCAGTTTTTTGTTTTCTTTTTATGTCACTCCCTGCAATGTTACGTAAGATCATGTCCTGTGATGTCATGCATGTATGAGTAATTTTGCAAATTAGCAATGCAGATAACTCTATCCAGGAAAGGTGGCAACCCTAGAAAATGACTTATTTCTGTGTGTTAAAATATAATATGTACTGTTAGCTCAATAAAAAGAAATCACTGAAATCCCAGTACTTTAATTAACTAGATGTCCAAAATGACTTGACTAATATGGCTGCTCCAATTTATATGAAATCCTCTTTACTGATAATTTGTTCCTGACAGAAACAGAGTTAAAGGTATATTTAGGGCCTGTCTTGGAAATCATAAGCTGTGAAAAAGTATAGATAACATGAGCATCTACAAAATGAAAGTTTAGTTGCTGTCAGTATTTTAACATCATATTCAAATGTTGATACATTGAGACATCTTTTTACATTTCAGGTTATAAGGAAATTGCTTGCATTCATGCAGTGACAGGTTTAAACTATGTCTACCTCCCACAGTACAGACATCCCTCTTTATTTGTGCGGAACAACCAGCTGTCATAATACAGTGAAAGGTACGCAATCGGTAGGAATGATGGATTACTTTTTGACTATAATGGGATGCTGCAAATATACACCCACAGCCAACACACAAACTTATATACTTACAATATGATTCTAACAGACAAAGTGTAGCCACTGGAGGACTCCTGTCTACCAAATCTTACCCACTACTGGGAGGGGGATCTGGAAATATTGATACACTTGGTAAAATTGTATACACTACCATGAATCGGGCTACAAAATCTGAACATGCTATGACATCTCTGAAAAACTGTGTATGATCGTCTTCAACATTGACGCTGGAATGTGGCCGCTGTTTCACATTTGGTGGACTTACCCTAAATTCAATCATAATATAAATTGGTACTCATTAAGCTTATCAGCAATGAGTGTATACATTCCTTTCTACCTATGTGCCTAATTATTTCTTTCCTGCATTGTCTCCCAACATAACTCCAAATTAGACTTACTGCACTCTATCATTGCAGTACAGAGCATTATCTCCACATTCTGAAGAAGAAGAGTGGATATATTGACTGGAAGGAATAGGCAGATGAACTAAGGTGTCATCCAGCAATCACCAGAATTTGCTGCACCTTGGTTTCATTGGTCTGGTGTATTGAATTAAGAGCACTCTCTGGTGTATTGAATTAAGGAAACACCCGAACTCAAGCTGCTCACAAATGCTTGCATTTTATATCAGAATCAGAGTGCCTGCAACCCAACTTTGAATCCTGACTTGAACGCTTTCTTCCTGTACAATGAGCTCCTGGCCCAGCTCCCTAGCAGGAGAGAAGATTTCAAACAGCAGAGAGCTGTGGGTCAGGGCTGTCATAGAAAGACCGCATTGGCAAGGCCTAGCAGCTGTAGCACCAGTAAGGTAGAGAGACCTCTGAACTCCCAGTAATCCTCCCCTCAGCTAGGTAGGAAGACATTGCAGTCCACAATCAGTATCCCCCACCCCATTAATATAGGGAGAACTTCACCCTCCCCCCCTAAAAAATAATCCTGCCCCCAGCAAGGTGAGGAGGCCTAACTATTGTATATTTTTCTACTTTGTTCCACCTCCTGGAGCTACCACAGAATATTGGTGCCTCGGCGCTCCACTGCTAGTACCTCAGCGCTCCCCTCAGCCAGCCACTGCATGGACTGAAAATAGCTTTTCCAACCTCATACCCAACCACTAGATTTGGGTTAGTGAAAGGAGAACACAACTTATTTATTGAACAACAGTTAGGATATTTATTTTGTACCATAAACTAAGGTGCACTATAAAGGCTGGATAACCAAGTACAACAATGTCGAGTCCTCATGGAAAACTGCAGTGACATAGAGGGTATGGTAATCAATCAAATATTGGACATGCACCTACCCCTGGTGATATGATGTCTGGGCTATGCTAAGCAAATGGCTGAGGGAAACTGAAGAAAGGGTAGCTCTGAATAGAGGAATAATACACCATCTAATTGGACCCTCTGATAACTTACACCATAAGCCTCCTACACTGGAGAGTACACATATTTCGGTCCCCAGGGAGCATGGTAACACTCCCTGGAACATTGCAACATTGCTGCCTCCTGGGTTTTGCTGCAAAGCAGTACTAGCTACTGCTCCCAGTAAAACTCCAGTAAGTTTACTGGTGTGTGTCAGAAGGCCGTGTGGGGAATGGTTCACTTGTCGTTTGCCACAGAGACCAGAATTGTCTGGTTGCAGAAGCATAAGATAGGGCATAGCTTTTAAGACAGTGAACCATGCAATGAATTGACTCTACTGGTCCCGACAAACCAAATACAAATCTCCTTTATAAAATTCACTCTTCATACAGGCTATTAACCCATAAAGGTTCACAATAGTTTCAATATCAGCAAACAGAATGTTCAGTTTCTGCTTCACAGTGCCCATATATGGCTTAGACGTTTAGGTGTAAAATTATTTTCTCAATTATTCAACATCCCCAGTTTTATTAAATTAGGTGAATGTTGCATTTCCTTGTTTCAGGTGGGAAATCTAAGGAGTTATATCAAGAGACTAATATAAATTTATTGAGGTAGCAAGATAAAACACTGTGGATTTCTACATTTGATTTTCTTTTTTGGACAGAACACATTTTTTAAAAAAAAATGGATAAGTAAACAGATTAAAAATCCTGGTAAGTGACAATTCCCCTAATTTTCTTTTTTTTTCTTAATTTTCTTTCATTATATATACATTGCAAAACTAACTTTAAAACTGCCATTCCTTTGACACTGAATTTCAACATAAATATATTATGTCTCTGTCTAGAAGTTTTATGTTATTGTATTTACTTTTTTCATTTTTCATTGAATACATCCACGTTATCTTGTGCCATTCGATCATTTAAAGGATTTAATTAATTTTGAAATGTCCACTTTTCTTTTAAATAAAAAAAACATTTATTGAATTTGTAACAAATATATTACAATGTCAGATATTAAACACATATTTACAATACATTAAATATTTTAAATAAAAAATAAATATGTTTTTTTTTTAATTTATAAAAAAATAGATATATTTTGCACATCAACATTTTACTTCAGAAAAATCTCCTTTGTATGGTGAGATCTTGACTTGTTGGCAACAAATAGCCTGGTACTCCCAGAAAAGCCTTGTTTCTTTTTCAGAATGCAGGAGAAGTCTGTGCCATTTAAATATAAATAATGTTTTGTCGTTTTGACAAGAATGTAGATGAGATAATAAAGTCTTTTTTTTCCAGCTCACCACGGCAGTGCATATTCACTTTTTTTCTTTTTTTTACATAGTTCTGTTTAAAAAAAGGAAACATTTGCACAGGTTATCAGTATGTTAAAGCATACTTCACTTTGTCTGCTACACCTAAATACATTTGTTAGACTTCTATGTCAAATATAAAAAAACAAAAAAAAAACATTAAAAAAAAAGAAAACATGGAATGTTCAAAAATATGTTTTGAAATCTAAGTAATCAGCAAATGTAATAAGAAGGACTGATCTAGATGTTTTGAGTAGTTTAACCATAAAGCAGGATGCTCCACATTGATGTATCCCACCTCCCTCTCCCCAACAAAATAAAAATGTTTAGATATAAACATTGGAGCTGTATTTACAATGGAACTGTAAACTGCACATATATATGTATAAGTGTTTATGAAAACTCTCTGTATTGAATCAATAGAAGTGTTTTACAGATGGCTTAAATCTGGACTCTAAATTGTAGTATAGCTGAGTTCACTGGCATATGGAATACGTAAATGCATAACTGTCACATCCATTCCCATAATTGTAAATGCTGCCACATCAGCTCTCTCTAAAGATGAAATGCAATTTATTGCAGTAGCGTAGACAAAAATTCTTCTTCTGAGAGGTTGAGTTGGCTTTACTCATTGGCAGGGAGAAAAAAAATCCATCCTTCTGAATTTATTGTATATATACTAGGTTTGCTCTTTATATTGTGCTGTAAATGTTAGAATTTGCTAAAGTAACTCTTTAGCTGGCACCGTCCTACCCTCACTCTAGGTTTCCCCACGTGTTCAACTCGCTTTCAATTGGAAAACCAGATACTGCGAGGCACAACATTTCAATTATTGTTATTGATAAAATAAATTCCCTTTCATATATACTTACAAATGCTTTCATACGTCAATTTCTTCACTTCCATTTTCTTGACCTAATTTCTTTTTTTCTTCCGCTTCGCAGTCATAAGTAGAATACTTCCTACGGGTGCTTTAAAGAAAAATAATTCAGAAATGTTACATTTTATTTGAACATCTGGCATATGCTGCTAACATTTTCAACAAAGAGATTCTAAAATGATGTTATATAACTCTAGTAAAACATGTACAATATATGGTTGAGTATTTCTCATCCACACTTATCGTGAATCCTTTATTATTTTATGCACATGCATAGTCAGACTGCAGTCACACATAAGGTCAATAAATCAACCTTTTTGCATTGTGTACAAATCTAATTATTATAAGGTCAGTGCTAAAAATAAGACTGCATAGTATATATTTAAACAATACAGTTGTCTGTTTTAGGAGTTTATCCAATAAATAGTAAGTTTACCGTTTACAACAAACTTGAAATATTGTGTCTCCATTAATTTTAACAAAGGGTTAAAGGTCACGGCCAGGTATGGTTTAGCAAAAGATAGAAAACTACCACCAAGTCTATGTAAAATTTATCTTTTAAATTTAATTTTAAATTTTTTAAATGATGGAAAATGGTAGCACAAAATATTAAAAAAATATATATAAAATACTTACTGTATAACAATGATGATAATAATTGCAACAAGGCTGATCGTTGACAGAAGAACTGCTGCAACAGCCAAAGCTACTGTTGATACATCTCCAAGTTCACTCGTATGTGTTTTCATGGAAAGTGTACTTAATGTACTGCATCTCTCTCCTGAATAGTCTTTCTGACATCTGGCAAAAGTCCAAATAAATGCAGATTAATTATCAAAATTACCCGTTCTTGTTACTAATGTGGTCATGTCAAAATGTCCTGACAAAGCTAGGCCTAAAATAGAACTTCACAAATGGGCAGCGCAGTTCGAGATAGAGACTTGTCATCCTTGGAATGTAATTTGACATCATCTAAGTATCACATTCCAGGAAAAGTACTGTGTGACTCTTTTTATACACCGGCTGCCTTGAAATTCAATGATCTGAGACGTGCTTATTCACCTCACACTTACAAGGTAGTTCTTTTATTAAAATAAAATACCAGTTTTTACTGTTTGTTATAATGGAAATATTATACTGAGTTGGGATCTTCTATTCCCATTATTAGTAGCTCAGATGGAATATGAGTTAATTCTTTTAATAATTATTATGTGGGCAACTAAACCCTTTGAATGACAGAGGGATGTGTAATACTCCCACATTATTCATATGAAGGTCAAATATATGGACCTATGGTAATTTAGTTAAGCCTTTTTTTCAAGTTATCAAGTTACTGCAGTGAAGGGGGTTACTTACTAAATAGTGTCTGTACATTGTTACATGACTAAATCATATACTTTCCCAGCTGCTATTTGGCAAATATCAAAGTTCAAGAAAGCAGCCTATCTAGCACCTGACTCTTTAACAGTTTGGTTTAATGTAAAATTAACGAGGTAACCATTTCTATAGCAGAGATATAAACACTACAATTTAAAAAAAAAGTTCACCTTCTCATCATAATTCTTATAAATAATACCAAACTCACAAACATACAATAGATACACATTGGCCTTTAAATCATCCATTTTGTTCCAGGGAAACTCACCTGCATGTAACCTCTTTAATACTGGAAAGGTATTTACATTGACCATGAATGCAGAAGTCTTTATGTGTGGTTAGGCATGGATTCTTCTTCTTTTTCTTGTCATTTTTGGCCTTTTTTGCTTTCTTTTCTCCATTTTTCTTTTCATTTTTTTTAGTTGTGTTTTCTGGCTTGACTACTGGTTGTACTGATTGAAGAGAAAAAACAATAAATGTTAATGCTCAACATGTTTTATATACATTTTCAGTTAATTATGATAACCGGTAGATAAATGTAAAGCTACATTAAACACCAAAAGTGACGTTTTAGTGACCCCCATATTTCTGAAACATTCAAAGAATATTTGAGATGTTTACTAAGGTATGACATTGTAAAAGCCATTCAAGCAACAAAAATGCCATTGAAATATTAACAAACAATTTCCTGTAATGCAACTACTGCCTGTCAAATATCACAGCAAGTTACACATCATAACAGGTTATGTGATGGTGTATGGCAAAATTAAACATTAATTCAGAGTATGGAATGTTTGTCACTGAGTAAGTCGGCATAGTATTTAAACTACATACCACAGCCCTTAATGATTAATGGACATACTTTGAATATTGTAACGAAGAACTTGCACATTAAGAGATCTTGCACATTAAGAGATCTTGCACATTAAAGATATTAAGACAGTCCCTTCACTAAGTTAAACTTTTAAGACAGTTAACCCTATTTTGTCTATGGCTAGTTGAAGATGAATCAGTCATTTCCTTTTTGGAAGTTCACCTTTACTCACAATATGATGGGTTATAACTCAGTACACATAAGCCCTCAAGGATGGGTTGGGAGAAGGGGTATGCTATTCATAAAAGTGTGCATGTTTGGCATGTTTCATTAAAATATGTGACTCAGCGAGGTGAGGCGCAACATCACAAAATAGCTGAAAAGATACGGCTTACTATAATCATTACAGAATTCCACAGATAAGACCTCATTTTAATAGTGCCTTCTTTTATCTAAAACATCTTATTCATACAACCATTGGATTCCAAATCAGGCTTCAGACACCTTCAAAGATCCAAGTTATATAGAGATGTGAAACTAGTATTTAAATTGGTTTTGGAAACATGGTCCTAAGCATTGGAATGCCTGGTGCAACCATTAATTGGAATGTGAAAAAATCTGCCTAAAAGACATTTTTCAGAATTCAGTATGCAGATATATTAGAAAATGCAGCTATCCTGAAAAGAACAAATGAACATTTTAGAGAAATAGCTATGAAAACTCTTCATCTGCTCTACATTATTCAAATGAATTGGAATATAACAACCTTATATTTGACAGATAGTGTCTTAATGTTGATAATAAGGATCACCATATTGAATGAAATGAATCATTTTTGGCAGCAATGTGCTTTCAGACCCACACAGTTCTTCAAGATTAGGTAAGGGTTGGCAGACCGTAAAAACATAATTGTACAATACTTTATACACAGCTCAAATCTGAGTCTCTTTTCATCTCTGCATGGTTCTGAGACATATTGCGTGTGGGATGCCATAAACAATGTATATTTTTTCCAAATGTATTGGCTTTTTTCCTTCTTTCTATGTTTGTCTGGTTGTCTGAAAACCCAGACACAAACAATTATCTCTCTTATCTGAATCATTATGTTCTAATTTGGTGACTACACTTATGGTACAGTTCGATTTACCTAAATGCTAACACACTGTTGCCTATTGAACACACACCAAAATGCTATTTAGCCACCTGTTAACAGAATGCTAGATAGTTCATGTGAGATTTATCCTAGATCATTTGATATGGCGCATAAATATTCTTTAGCATTTTCTTTTCTGTTTGTGGGCTCCAAGTACAAATTTATGATTCTGAATCAGATTTATAATATATTAAATTTTTTTCACACGCTAAATGCTATTGATACAATTCAATAGCGATTTCACACTTTACTTTTTTATAGCTAGGGAACTGAGAGACATTTTCTGCAATTTAGTAGAATTTGTAATAGATTAGAATAGTTCTTCCAGCTGAAAATTATATATCCCCATATAATCACATTTGACAGTGCTAATCACTAAAGTGGCATCTTTTTTTGTTTTGTAAATTTTTATTCAATTTTATCAAAGTTACAAAAATCGTATCAGTAGGTTAATCTGGATCGACAATCACACATTGAGTAGGTTACAATAAGTGGCATTTGTCAGATATTTAAAGTGAATTCAAATTGAATTTCACAGTTTAGGTCAAAGTACCTGAATTGGAAGCATAACCGATTCCATTTTTGTTTACAGTTTCACTATAGTGGCCTTAAATTTGAAAATGATCTTGGATTCCTGACAAGAGCTATTCAGGCAGTCAAAAATGTATCAGTACATTATATTTAGAAGATATAAAAAAAAGTATTCTCCTAACTTACCACGAATAGAATCATCTATAATATATCCTACAGAAATATCCTGGTCATAATCATCTTCTTCAACATCTTCTTCATCCTTGTTTGGCTGATGCAGGCTGTCGGTTCCATTAGCGACAGGATTGTCTTCAGGTAATGTTGCGTTGGTTTGGACTGAGGTAGCGCTGGCTTCAGAACAATGCACCTGGTACTGGCATGCTGCAGATATCAAAGAGTTTAATAATTAGCATACTGAATTACGCAATAATTCAATGGCTCATGAAGGGTAGCTATGTACTTGTAAATAAACTGTGGTATAAAATAGATGATTTGAAAAAACAAAATCTTGAACATGACAGGCATCCAGGTAATACCTTGCAAATTGCTTTTGTGAATAAATCCTTACAGAGACAATCTACGAAATAAAGGCAAAGTGTATTATATTTGGCAAATGAACACACTTTACCAATGAGTACCATTCTACTGTCATCAATCTAATTCAACACTAGCATTTTAATATAACAGCATTGCTTTGTAGTCTGTAGACAGCAATGTTAGCCTTAGTGTGATTTGACCTAGGAATGACTTTAAGGAAAGGGTATAGTATGGTATCCCTAAATCAATTGCTGATATAAGAACAAAAAGCAACATGTAGCATTGCACATCCTAATCCGAAGGTTAAATAGTTAAATAAGGGATGTCACTGGTCCTGGAAGACTGCATACATAAACATTAGTCATGCCACTAGACAAATGTGCCATCCATAACTAAACACACTGTTGAAGGATCCATTCATTCATAAACTTGTCAGCATTCCTTCCACCATTTCAGTATACACACATTCCTCTCATCAGCAGCTTATGTCCCAGACAAGTAGGCACATGTTCCTTATCAGTGGCCTCTTACTTCACATTTCCAGCTTTCCTCTTTCTGGTCTCAAGCAACAGACAGAAATTATACTTCCTATAAACATTCTTGTATACAGCGCAAAATTGATTAAAGCTATATTAGTCTGTATATAGCTTTAATCAATCTTGTGCAGTATACATGAATGTTTGTAGAAAGTACCGGTATATTTTCTCTGTTGCATCAGACCAGAAAGAGGAAAGCTGGAAATATATATGTTTATTCATTTACAAAAATATTCAAAGGAAAGTTATGCAATGTAATAATTATTTTTACTCATTCATTAGCAAACTGTTCCTTAAAAGAGTGTAAATAACCTCAGGGTTCTAAAAAAAAGCACAATTATTGATATTATTTTTGAAAAAACTTGGAATATTGTTTGCAGGTTAAGGAGTTATTAGAAGTATATTTAAAACCTCCAGTTGAGATAATAAAAGTCTAATGATATAGACAGGACACAAGTAAGGGTGTTGTTACACAGTGTACTCTGAAAGCATGAGGCACAAACATAATCCCATCAAGCGTCAAAGGTTAGGGTGTTCCTGTATTAAAACTAGATTACTCTTTTATTTCTATTTTTACACCGTATATAAGAAACAATAGCATTTCAAAGAAAACAGGCGCATCTTGGGTGTATACCCCTAATAATTTACTCACAGCTCAAAACACATCGTAGCTCTTTTCAAGTAAATATGGGACATCGGGGACATAATAATGTAATTAATAATTCATAAAAGTATATAATTAAAAAAATAATAGTAACATTTTGGATCAAAGAAAAATTGGTTTCCTCTATAGCTGAGTAAAATGAATAACTCCATCTTTCCTTATTCTATGTCAAATTTATTTATTTATTAATAAAATTGGTGATCCTTGTTAAATGTAAGAAAAAAAAAAGACATTTATCAATTGATGAACATTCTAAAATCTATGGAACATTTTAATGGAGGAGGTTAAATGATCAGCTGCTATTAGTACTCGAATTTTTATACCTAAAAAGATGTTAATCTGCAGAAATGCAAAGATTCTCCATAAATGAATATAACTAGGTAATACGATGACTTACCTAAAGAGCACAGGAGTGTGATGCACAGAAGCAATGACATGTGAGAAGACATTGTGATGAGATATTTCTTCAAAGCAATCAAAGCCTGGAGTTATTCCTTGATGATTGTAAAATGACCAAGTCCTTTTTGTCACAAAGGTTATGTTAAGTGGGTGACAGTCTTGCTCTTGTCAGTGATGCTGTGCTGTATGTTGGTGTGTGACTGTGTTGAGTCCTGCAGCTCCCACAAACTGCAGGCTTGTCTCTGTACTGAAGTATCAGAGAACAATCCTTATTTAAACACTGAGCAGCTAGAGGGAAGGGCTCAGTGACGGAGGATTCTAATGACGAACTGAAAGGGGGAGGGTGGAGGAGGGTGCACCTGTCGACAGGAAACTGTGCAAGTAGGAGTCATCAGTTTAGCAGACAGAAAGAAAACCCATACACAAAAAGCTTAGCCCCCAGCCCAATTGTGAGTGTGGGAGGGAGACTAGTCATTTTACAACCCCGCACCCTTTTTATATCTGGAACACTTTTCAAGGTTGGGGAACGATATCAAACAGCCTCAGTGTAAAAAAAAAAAAGCAATTCTAAAATGTATGTGTAGAATGGTAATTTTCTTGTTACTCTGATTAGAACAAAATCCCCTGAAGTGAAACTGCAGAATAAATCTTAATCTGGAATGTTACTGCACATCTGATAATGTATCAAGTAAAATGAAAGGAATGGCAGTTTGAAAGGGAAACACTAATGTATGAACATGTTACATACTATCTCACCTTTGAGATGTGGATTGCCATTTTCTGGATTTTATTTAGAAGAGAGGTTCCCCCACGATTTTTTGCACCAAGGCACACTCAAATGAGTCATATTTCTAAGGGATAACTATTTTTTTCCCCTTTTCCCTTTTTATATTAATCAATAAATGTCACATTTACTTCAAGCCTTGCTGGAAAGATGTGCATAATGAATTGCCAGATGGGAATCCAATATTTATACTCATATTTAAAAAAATAAATTTAAAAAAAAAACTGTATTCAACATCTTACATTCCTACGTTAATGGCACACCTTTAAGTGCAGTGAGGCTCAACTTTGTGCCACAATGCACTGGTTGAAATCCACTGATAAAGATTACAGGCTGCACCTGAGGCTATACGATTCATACAGTCAAATGAACCTTTCTTTTACCTGGCAGAGATAAATGGTAGTTGCAATCCGATAATCACATTTCAAATCTGCTGCTTTTTAGGAAGCTATAATTCTATATTGCAGAAAGCTAAAATGGCTATTGCAATACAGCTTTGATTTTTAAAGGAACACTATTTTTGTATGTTTTATTTGGGGGTATAGGAATAAAAACTTTGTAAAATCTGAAGACCATGTGTTTCTGTGCCGAGTTTTAACGTTCCAATCTTTAGGTACTTGGATAAACAGTCACACGTCACAGACTCCAGACACAGAAAGCATTTAGGTAGCTTTTGTGAGTTGAGTGTTCCTTTAACCTCAGGAGGGATCCAAATTTGGTTCCCCAAGCTATATCTATGGATGATCAGCAGTTGAAACAGGCATATCATATTCCTCTATGCCCCATGCAATGCCATATTAAGTGTTCACTGTAAAAGCATTGTCTTTTCCAGTTCAATATAGATTACATTGAATTAGATTATCAATAGTCTAATGAAGGTATTTTGCCATTTTTTATTAATTGTATTACCATTAATAAGATCAACAGGAATCAAAAGATCTATTGGCTCTCTCAACCTTATCCTTTGTACTTGAAAAAACAATACTGTATTAAAGAAGGGGATATAAAGGCTCTTTAAAATATCACAATTATATATAGTGTAATTAAGCCAGGGAAGATGTGTTTTTATTGTAATTGCATATAACACATGCTCAGAGCTGAACACATTGTTTGTTGTAAATTCTTTTTATTAAATGTAAAAAGAAATAAGGCAATACCTATATGACAGACAGATTAAGTGAGAATACATAGAGGGTGGATATGTGTTATACAAAAAATGTAAATGACAAAGATTAACAACATAATAAATATTACATAATTAGAAGAAAAGTAAAAGAAAAAAAGATTGTAGGCAGAAGAAAACTAAAGGAAATTAGGGACATAACCCTATAAAGAGTTTATGTAAGTCGATCAACAAAGGATTCTTTATATAACCTACAGGTAATTACCTAGGGCAGTCATAGCTGTTGAAAAGGAAAGTGGAGTGGTGTGGTATGGTGGCTGATTTTCCAGAGGAAGAGAAAAAAGGGTGAAGAGGTGAAAAGGGAGAACTAGTACAAGAGTACAAGAGTACCCGATAAAGGTCTAGATTAGAAATACAGTAATTGGCTGTGGGGAGCTGTTTCTAGATGAAGGTCCCTGGCATTTCATGATATGGTATAAATTATGAAGTGAGTGAGAGTAAAGTTGGAATGCATTCCAAAAAGTGTGGATTGTAAAACTTCACACTATCAGATATGAGACAGTTAGAGGCTCAACTACTTGTTCACTTTATAACATCTGAACATACTACACTATATAGTCTCCATTTCTATTTTCATTGCATACCCCGTGGCCCGGGACTACACATTTGGATCAAGAGATATACTGCACATCCTTATATGGGGATTGCACTGCTCAAGAACACATAAGTCAAGCTAACAAGCAGCTCTATAAACAGGGGCCTAGCCAGGTGCCATGAGTTTGACTGGATCACTGATCCCCCGCTGACATACCATAGTGAGAAACTCAAGATCTTTCTTTTCACCACTTGTGGGGGCCCAAAAATGTTTCTTACACTGGAGCCCTCTATACATTAATTTCCACTTCTGCTTTTCCATTGTTCAATTTCTTTCTCATTCCATATACCAGCTGAGAATGCTAGGTGCTTCTCCTATTCCCTATTTCAATAACCACTACAGCCCACTTTACGAATAGTTTAACAATTTACCTAAGTCCCATTACGACTACAGGGAGCTGCAAATTATCTTTTCTCAGCTAAGCCCAGCCATTAAGGGTACTTCTGCTATAAAAAAAGCTAGAATAGCATTATTGGGCTCTCCAGGATGCAAGATATGATGCTTCAGTTAGGTTACAGTTGCTAATTATATCTTAATTTATTAAACGTTTAGAACTATGTTTTAAATTCATATTTATTTAAATATTTAATGCTGCTTGCCAGGTAACATACATAAGCAATCGTGCACTGAACAGCAGTTTAGCAATCACTAACAATTCTTCAGATTTACAATAAAAAAAGGTGACACTACATTATAGTACAAGAACACAGTCGATACTTAAAAGAACACTATAGCGTTAGGAATACAAATATGTATTCCTAACGCTATAGCCTCCTGCTAACTGATTAGGCGTCTGCCCCCCACCCCGTGTCTTACTTTTAAAAAGCCTTTTTACTTACCTTTTAGCCCATGCCATACTGCTTTTGAGTTTGACTCAGTTCTCAAAAGGAAGCTTTCCTGAAATCCACTAGAGGTGTGTTTAACTCTGCAATCTTTAGGGTTTTACGTTGCAGGGTTGAAACTAAAATGCCACTGCATCATTGAGGTGAAGTGGTCTGAATGCCTTAAGTGGTCTTTTAGGCATTAAAGAAAAAAAAAAGGTGAAATTTTGTGGGATTGAAATCACAGCTATTTATGTTTACTCTCCCATCAAGCCCATCCAAAGGTCCCATGTTTTGTAAGGTTTTTTTTTTTTTATAATAATTAGCTTTGCCATATAGACCCTTACTCTTTGTGCCCCTTCCTCCAATACTGCTGTAAATTATGTTATGAGTTAGGTTTCATGGAGTTGTAGTTCAGCTTTAAGTTTCTGCATTCAAAAGCTGACAACTGAACTGCCACTTTGCCACTTTGTAGATCAATTTCTGTGCCCACAGCTATAGAAAGTTAGCTAAGCATCAGCCATTAGATGGGAAAAAAATCTGCACAGCAGAACTGAGTCCACGCTGCATTTCTGCTTTACAGAATTTCGGCAACTGAACAAAAATTCAGGGAACCAATTCAGCCAACCAGAAAAAATGCCTATTACTGTGCTAAACATGCAAAATAGCTACAATATTTTACATGGACTTTTACATGCTTGGTTGTTATCTCTGTCTCTTTGCTAATTTGTATTAATGAAAAATGGGAAACAGGAGTAATTTGAAGTTGAAAATAGGGGATTAAATCAAAAAAGAAAGGAAAAAGTCAATGGGCAATTGCCCACTGCCTCACCCCATACACAACTTTCCCCCTCATCCAGTCTAGAGTCAATAACCTAAACAAACAGTGACCAGTCAGTTTCGTCCAATTCCATCTGTGGAGGAAATAGGGGCCACAAGACTCAGTCATGCATGGCGAAACCACTACAATGAAAAGAATTTGGAAAAAGGCGGAGCAGCAGGGGTCATTTAATATATTTTAACGATGTTGGTGAAAAAGGGGATTACCTATCCCAAACTGGTTTACTGTGGCTCACAGTTTGTCATGTCTCTAAATGAAATATGAACACGCACTAGCTTCCTTATTATTGTACAATACTTACACCCCAGTGGGGATTCAATGCCAATAGAGTAATGGGAAGACTATGAATTGCCCTCTACTGTTCTAAAATTCTTTCCACCATGTCTAAAGTGTAGTTCTCCGCTGACACTGTATCATAGATTGTGTGTGAAAAACCCTCTTTTCTATTGCTCATGCCTCAAGATTTGGTTAGCTCTCACACTACTTAGGGAATGACCATCAATCCCCCTGCAATGCTCAAGTATGGTTTGCAATAAGGTTGGACATCTTCCACTTCCATCACCATACCCAGGCACGGTGAGCTGTCCCCAGTGTGCCATCAAGGAAATAAAGGCATGATCGGCACTAGGAGCGCTCCACAAATATAGACAATCAGGTTTTTTATTTTGTAGTCTGCTCTTTTGACACAGCCCTAGAATAAAATGTCTGGTGGGCTGGTGGACACTTGAGATGATGAAGAGTTCAACTGTCTCTGTCCAACCTGCATCTTCCAATTTTTGGCACTATCCATAACACCCCCATGATTTGCATAAGGGTAGTAGTGGAAGAGGTACTGCTGCTGCTGTTACTTCTCATGTTTAAATTTCCATTATCATTGGGTTTACCACTACAACTTTTAAAAATGGTAAATTTGTGATTCCAAGTTGATGTTAAGTGGCAGTAGCTAGCAGTGGGACACTGCACTAGCCGTAACCACCAGTCACACACTAGGATGAATGAAGCAGACTACCTATCACTTAAACTTTGTGTGAGTGCCAATGTGGTGCAGGTAAACAAGAGGAACTTTTGTTTTTATTTGTACTGAGCAACACCCTCCCTCCAAAATAAATAT